TCGAACATATCTTTTTATGAGTAATAAATAATTTGTTTCAAATGAATTGTAGCCATCAAATTTTTTATGTTTCAGTTTTATAGTTTTATTATTTGAAATTTTCATATTTAAATGATAATAGCTATAATGAAGGTTTTGCGCAATAAGCAACTTTTATCTCAACTGAAATAAATAAAATAAAATCAGCCGTGTATTTAACTAAAATGGGGCGTGTTTTGGCCAGTTTTTTTTGCTTGTTGAAATTTCAAGCAAAACCGACGTACATTTCAATTTAAATCTACGTTGGTAGTTACTAATTGCATACAATCGCAATCTCTTTCGATTCATCAAATTATTTATCAAAATATAAACAATATAAAGTTAAAAGTGGAATTGAATGCGTGTACTCTTTTATAACACGGATATAGAGATTTGCTATAACCTACCTTTATTCATTCAATTTTAATTTTTACTAATACTTTACCAGTATATAAAGTACATTGAAACCAAGAATATAAAAACATATTGCAACGATTTTGAATCTTCCAATAAACCTGATTTCTCTCAGATTATTTCTTTACAAAAAAATGCTATCATCTATATATATTCAATTATTTAGTATCATTAGAAATATTTTATGAAAATTTAATTTATAATTTGTTGGTAGCAATTGACTACCATTAATATACGAGAAATATCATTCTTGGTCGCTGTTAAAGTATTCGAATTACAGAATACACAGTGGTTTGTGTTCAAAGTGTTATATTTATGGGTAGTTGTGATTTTTATCAATGTATTCAATCAATTTTTAAGTTTAACTCCATATGTCTTTAGATTTAAAATATTTCCTAAGAAAAAAATGCGCAGCGTTTGTATGTTTTCTATCCAAATGTATTTATTTGGTTATTTATATTTTTATAAGAAATTAATGTAAACCTAAAAATATTTATCTAAAATTTCATCAGTGTAATATGAGAAAAAATATGGATACCCCATTAACGGAATGAACTCGGCTTTATATAATCATAGGTTCAATAATAATCCTTCAGGTCGAATTAGAAATAGATCGAATTCATATTTTCAGAAACTACTTGCATTTATTCTAAGCACAAAAAGTATCCTAATCTTTATATTTATAATTTTCAATGTTATTTTTATCGTTAAAATTATATGTTTTTCCTCATATTTTTCTGATAAGTTCAAATATACTACTTTATTGGTTTTCATTTTTTTAATTCTAATGTGCAGTTTTACAATTCTTATATCACCTATCATTGAAGATAAATACACGAAAGATATGATTTTTTTGATAATAATTATTTTTGAAGTTTTTTTCAGCTTATTCTTTGCGAGTTGTTTTTATATTCAAAAATTACAAGACGAAATTTACAAGCAAATGCCAAAAATATATATTGATAGAAATTTTACAATCAATCATTAAAAAATTTTTTTATATTTAATTTGCCTCTTTTTGAATTTTAATTTTTTTAAATAAAAAAAAAATCTACCGATTCCCCATATTTTATTCAAAATGAGTAAATATAATTACCTTACACTTGTTTTATGATTTATTTCTCGTACTAAACTTAAGTTTATCGTTGATAAAATACACATTAAAAAAACTGTTTTTTTACTAATATTTTTTGATAATATAAACGCATTTACCAAATAAGAAATAATTAAAAAAGATTATGATTTCTATTAACTTATCTAAAATAGGAATAATATTTCCTAAAAACGAATAAAAAAAATTTTTGAATTTAAAGAAAATAAGTTCAATATTTTTGGACTTTTAAAAGAATAAGTAATACATTTTATAATTTCATGAAAAGTTCTTTAAGAAGATTGTAAAAGTATTAACTGCATTATAAATTTTTGTTTTGTTAAAATATTAACAGCCAACAAGGTATATATAATGCAAAAATTTGAACCAAGAAAAAATAATTTACATAAAATAAAATAAACTTTATTTAAAAGTATCACATCTTTTTTAAAACAGTTGCAAGTGTTATATTTGTTTTCATGACATTAACGCAGTTCTAGGTTTAACATAAATGACTGCTACCCCAACACTCCATCGGTAACCCCTGCGATACCTACGTCCCAAAGCCTTTCATTTACCAGGTGTGTATGTAACCCAATTAATAGGCGAGGTAGTTGCCCGGAGTTCGTTAATGTCCGTTGCATGGAGTGTGATCGAAGGCCGAAGCCCCCCCTGGGCTCCCCCAAGACTATGCAGCATTCCCACTTACTCTACACTTTCTGAACCCAATAAACTTCTAGCTAAGATATATTTCGAGATTTGCATGGGGTCCACCTAGCAGTGCAATGTCATACCACGGTATAACCTGCTACTTAGCTCTCCCGGCTTTAAATGGTTTTTTGTTTTATATTCCCAGGCGCTAAGTCTTCTAACCCGTGGCAAGGCTAGGTTTCCTGTTTTTACATGGCATTACCTCATGTTCGCTGCGGTCTGCAATCTGGTTACATAAAAACTACAATAAATTTGTGGAAAGTTTCTCCATTTCTTGACCTCCCTCCTCATAACACTCCCTGACACCGGTGTGTGTGGTTTATTCCCACCAAAATCCAACAATGATCTCCCGTTCCCCTTGCCGCGGTTTTATGTGGTTATCCTCCCTCCACTAATTTACATATAAAATAAAGTATTTGAAAATTAAATTTTTTAAAAAATAATAGAATGATGATCTGAGATATATTTTGATACAAATTATTTACCGAAATATTCAATGTAGACAAACATTTAGTTTGTTCATTAAATACATAGATTTTAGTTTAATAGTAAAAAAAGTTAGCTTTGTGATTTAATTTGATATCGAATCAACATTTAATGTCTAAAACTCGAAGAAAATATTACGGATTTGAAATATATGAAAAATAACTGGTCAAATTTGCTAAAATTTTACTTGATTTTCTTTACAATTGAAAATTCCACTTTTATAATTAAAGTTTTTTTGACAGAACCTACTTTAAAAAAGATCATCAGATTTTATAATAATCTAATTAGATAATATTAAAATGGTTTTCGCGTTTATAAAAATAGAAATTATTGTTTTATTGTAAGTTGAAAATTTTAAATTTGGTTGTTTAGAATTGATAAAAATAAATAAATATGGCAAAAAATCATCTGCTTGGCAATAAGTGTGTGAAATTTGTGTCAAATATTCTTTTAGTTTTTTGAGATATAAACCACACTGGTTCTATGGATTGTTTTCTAAAATCCCGAATTAAAACAGATTAAACGAAACAAATGAAAAAATAAAAGACTGTCTCAGGATCAATAATCGGTATGGAATCGAAACATGTTTTATGGTGCGTTAAAAACCTTTTTTAACAGGTAAAATAGAAAGAACTTGAATTTTGAAATGGTTCGGCTTATAAAAATTGACTTTTCGCAAAGAAGAATAAACCCCGGGAAATGTTACGATATTGACTCGGCGACTGAATATTTCAGAGTCCCATTTGTTATCATGGATACCAAAGATAAAGGGTACAGAGCGAACTAAATATGTTACTTAAATCTGAGTCTACAAATATTTCTCATATTCTTTTATACCAATAGTTTCTTTTTGAGTTCATTCCTAAGAAAAAATGAGCCAAAGATTATTAGTAGAAAATTTGGCGTGACAAGCAAATTTTCTTGAATAAGTTCATTATTTAGCCAACAAAAAACCTTGTTTTTACTAAAATAAAGAACTTCACAATCAGAGATCTTCCTGGAAAATGATTCAGAGTTTGCTATCGCGTAAACCAGATTATCCGCAGTCAATTTTTTATAGAAAAAAGCAAACACTAGAAATCGTATTATTTTTATTCAAAATATTAAGAACATTCGAAATAGTCATTATTTAATTGTTTAAATCTCATATATTTAAACTAGAATATTTATTCTTAGTCTAATGAACGTTTCAAAAAATTAAAAATATCTGGTATATATTGTACAAAAAATGGCCGGTTTTTTAAGCAATGAATATTCAATTTTCATACAACGTATAAATTTATTAACCAAATGAATAATTAGAAGAAAATGAATATGAGACTTTATCTAATCTTTAATTAAAATTATATCAAAGAGAATACATGATAAATATCGATATCGAACAAAAATTTAAAAATATTTCTTAGAGGTAATTGTAAAAACAAATATTTGGTATAAAAAAATGAAATACCGCTTATTAAATAAGAAACTAAATTTTAGTATTTACTTCTTATGATTGCAAATAAAAAAACACAGGAAACATAATCTATCAGCCAATGGTTGGCTTATTTAAACATGTAGTGTAGAGATAATTCCTTACCTGATAAGCAGGGGCATTATTCTAACTAAATACCAAAAAATGTATCTTAAAAGACTCAATATACTTATAATAAACCTAGAGGCATATATTCAGCAGATAATACCTAAGAATACAACGAAGAAATTTTGTTAAGATACGAAGAGGACTCGAGTCAAAACAGACCTAAAGAGAGCGGAGAAAAGACGTCAATTTGTTTTAAATAGGAGTTGAAAGCATTTAGAATCAACATCTTTTTATACAAGCTAGTATCTAGAAAATTGGTGTTACACAACTAAATATTATAAAATAATTTACCCTTTAAAACCCATAGAGGACCCCACTCTAGAGGATCGTCTTACATACTTACTTATTCCATTCCTCTTTTACTTCTAGGTGTCGAGGATGAACAAATGAAAGTTTACCATTTCTTTCTTTTAATTTGTTGTAACACAGGATTATAGGAGATTGGTCTATAGATCAACTAAAGGATCGACATTAAACTAAATAAAACTCGGATATAAAAAAAGAGAATAAAATGATTTGAATGATGGAAGAAATTATTTGAAGAAAAAAAATTAACCATGAATTTTATTTATAGAATATAAAAATAAATATGAAATAGAAAAAACTAGGAATCGAAAGAAAAGAAAAATTTGATTTGAACATCGATTATAGTTGTAAAAATTAACATTGTATAGTTTACAAGTAAATATATTAAAAGATTAGCCAGAGCGGGATTCGAACCCGCGCCCCCGAAGAGACTTGCACCTTAAACAAGCGCCTTAGACCACTCGGCCATCTGACTTAATTATTTTATTAAATATTAGTTAACTATTTTTCACTTTTTATTCTAACCCCTTGTTTTTTTATGGAATTTTATGATTTGAATTTAATACTTGCAGAAGAAACAAAAGTAACAGTAAAATTTAACCATGACGTTGATTTTTTTGGATTTTATTTTGCAGAAAACCTTTCCTACATTCCAAAAAACCATTCAGTAAAAGTACCATTTTTTATGGTCGATTTTTTACTAGAAAATGAACATTGTATTCTCGTTGATGATTTTGTTGAAGAAACCACAAAAAATAATTTGATGGCAAAACCTTCATTGGTAAATTTATCTGAAAACTATTTTAATTTCTATTATTTCGGAATAATTATTTCTAAATATTTAAATATAAAAGATTTTTTATTTGAGGTTTTTTGTGAAAGAACTTCTGATTTTTGCAATGAGTTGTTCACAGATAAATTGACTGATGACAATTACTTACTCATGGATATAAATGAAAAAAGAATTATGTTTTTCTCTGCTTTCATTTTAGAAAAATATAGAAGATTTTTACGGCTTTAATATTAAATTCTTTTTGATATTTTTTCTTCGTATCTTATTGGTGAAAGATTAAAATTTTTGATAATAAACTTATTTTAAAAAATAAAAAAGTATTTTACAAAACATAAATTTAAAAGTGTGGATTTTTTGGTTAAAATTTTTTATTGGGCTCTTCTTTATAAAGATAATAGTTTTTTATTTTACAAATGATTCTAAATAAAATTTATTAATAATAAAGATTTAAAAAAAATTATACTTTCAGATCAAAAGTGAAGGATATCGAGATATAAAAAATATTTATTTTTTTAAAGGTAATGACATATTGTATATGTTGCTTTATCATTTTTTAGTGGCTGTTAAAGCAAAAAACTATTTCTCAACTACAAAAAAATATTTTTTTCACACAAATCTATAAATTTATTTTATATTTTTAGCCATTATGAGCATATTTCTAGTTTCATTTTTTCCTAAGACTTCATTTTGACTTTCATTTTTTTTCTCGCAAGGAATACGAATAGTAGGAAAATACAGAAAAGAAATGAAAAAATATTAAAATTCTCTTTAATTTAAGTAATATAATTGCAAGAAAAACAGAATAAATCTATATTTCAAGATAAAAAAATAAAAAATTAAATTGGCTTTTGAACTTCTATAATTATTCAAATTGTGATATTAAACGTAGTAGAACATTCACATAACTCACCTTAACTTATTATATGCATCATTAAAATTAAGTATTGAAGGAAAGCATATTTTACAGAATAAAATCTTGAAAAATTATTTGTCGAAATTAGTTTAAAGATAAATAAAACAAAACATTACATTTAAAGTTATATGCGTCTAAAATATTTGTGCGTTATTTTTAGTAAAGCTTCTAATTAAATAAGAAAACGAACACATGGCATCAAACAACTGACTTAAGTTTTTATTTTTTCAGTAGAAATGCACTTATGGGTACGGAAGAACCGATTTATTCCATTATTTTGATATATTAAAGAGACCGATGAGTATTTTAGGATTTTGTGAAAAATTAAAGAAAATCGTGGTTGATGAACGCCAAATGAGATGATGTCTAAAATGAGACTCAACTATCAAATCAAATATAGTCTTTAGAAAAAATCAAGAGTTAAATGTCCAAGAAATATTTGTAAAAAATTAAGGAAAAAAACTGTATTAAAAATAAATTAAAATCTGAAATAAAAGAACAGTTGTATATATTTTAATACAAATATGCTCATTATAATCAATTTTTTTGAAAGACTTGCTTCGAATTATGTAGATAAATAAAGAAAGGCAATTGTACATTTTGTGTAAATTTTATATTTTGTAATGCCTGATATAGTATTTTTGAAAATATTAGAATATGAGATACCGCTTAAAAAATTAGAACGTTTCTAAGATTATAGTAATGTGTAGAGATGTATTATTTAATAAATCAGAGTCTAAATCATTCATTCTGATTTAATAAAGACTGGATAAAGACTAAACGTTGCAAAGAGTTAAGAATAGAATACCAGAAAGCCATACAAAAACCAAGGTTCATAAAATACGTATTTCTATCAAATATTTGAGCGAAATAAAATAAGGCTTTAAGATAGTAATGCAGAAAATATTAATCACTTTATTTTGAATCATTTAACTGCAGAAATGATTTTATGTAAAAATAAAAGTCACACTGCTTATAGTATATAGTGATTAAGCTATAAAGAAGGTTATTGATTGAAAAGGTAGATAAAACAGTTAACCATGTATTTAAAAAAATGTTTTTATAAATCATTTGTGAAATATATATCATTTACGGTAATTTTGTAGGAAAGATTATCAAAATTAATAGTTTATTTATACTTAATTTATTCAAAAGAATATTTAATCCAAAAAAAATATAATCAATAATATCAGACAAAGATAGAGTGAATAAAAAAAATATTAAGATTGAATAATTTATCGGAAGAGAAAATTAAGTTATATCCATGCACTTAAAGGGCTTTTAATCAAAATTTACTAATCAAAAACTTCTTATATTCGGTTTTACCTTTTCCTTTCTAAAAACGCGATACGTGCGTCTCGAAATCCAGAATCACTGTCCGTATTTCTCTAAATGTTTAAACGAATCTGACACCTCAAAAAGAACAGTTTTTAAATTTATCCTCGAATTGGATGAAGCATTTATAAATACCTTTGATAATAGTTAAACGACTGCTGAATACATTTTTTTTTAACAAAAAAAAATAATTCTTCCAAATGTATTTGTTAGGATACTAAAAAAAATAAAAAATGGTGCATCTTTTTGGAAATTCGATTACTTTGTTTAAAAGATATTGCGGTGAGAAATAATTTTCCTGCAACATCTCACTATTTCTATATAAACCTTCTTATGTGCTTTTGAAACTTTAAATCGTCTTATTTCGAAGTTTAATAGAATAAGTTACTTTTCATTTGTATTACCGGGTATATTTTTCGGAAATCCAAACTATTTTTTATGAAATATATCAAAACGGGGATTTAAAACAACAAAAAACAGAAAATAAATCGAAGAACTTTTAGAAATCCGTAAACCGTTAGATTATATAAAAGCTTTAGCTTTTAAAAATTTGATTAACTTCTTAATTAATCCTTTTAAAAGAACCATTTTTTTATTTATAATATATTTTCGAATATTCCAACCCGATAGTCATCATTTAAAGGTTCAGAAATTTTATTCGAATTATACGAAAATATTTGCGAAATAAACAGAAGATATATTTGATTCTGAAAATATCAGAAAATATTATAAAGAGGAGTATGATTCAATTTATGCAATTGCACGATTGTTAAAGCGCATTTGGTTGTTAGGGCATATTTTGATACCTTCATTCTTTCTTTCAATGTTTCAACAACCTGTATAGATGAAAAAAAACATTTAATTCTTTTTTTGTAGATTCAGAAGATGAAGAGATAAACGATATCGATATTACATTGAGAGTTGTCTATGATGCAATTTTAAATTTGAAAAAAAAAGCATTGCAATAGAACTAAAATCTAGCTATATTGCAATTCTTTTTTAAATGTATAAAAATTTTTAGGTTAGAATATGTAAATCTAAAAAGTGAACCCAAAGATACAAATAAACATAAGAATTACGATGAAAAAATATCGGATCATATGACTATAGGTGTTAATGAGAATATTAATAAACATATTATTTTAACCAAGCTCAAAAATATAGTCGATTTTCAGACAATTACAAGCTTGAAAATAAAGAATTTTAATCTTCATCTTTCAGGCATAGAAATATTTGTAAAAAAAATTTGAGCAGATTATAAATAATCAGTAAATCTATATAATTGAGTCGTTTTATTATAGAATACGTCGGCAATATCAGTAGTCTTTTTTAGATATTATTTGAAAATGTTGAATTTATTAACTCGAGCTAGGATTTTTCTCAACCTATTTCTATGAAAACAGTCATCCTGAAAAAAAATTAATCTAATGCAACGTGAATATAACCTAAATTATTTTTTGATTCGTTAAGCATTATTCTAGAGACTTCAAGGTTATGTACCCAAACCAACTTTTTCGAAATGGAAGGATATTGATTCAAATATTCTATTTATAAATCGTCTTTGGTTTTTATAAAAAAATTTACGACTCTAAGACTTGTTTCATTAGTCATATATTCACTACATTGTACACATATTAAAAGTATTATCTCTATTAAGGTTAAAAGAGCTTGATTTATCAAAAACTTAAAAAGGTGTTTGGAAGTAGATATTCTTGATTTTGCATCACTCTCGTTTCTTCGCAAATTTATTTTATCGGATCGTAATTTGAAACTTGAATTTTCTTTCGGTTGTTCTGGAATTTCTGCAAATTGTTAAATCTTTAGATGTTTTGGATATTTCTAAAAATTTAAACTTAGATAATTCGATTTTTATGTTTTTTCGAAAAATAAAAAATAAAATTTAAGCGAAGTTGACTTTTCTATATAATAAGTTTTCTGCTGTAGATTTGAACACTTTTACATTTCAGAAAGTTCCTAAGTATGATTTTAGTTTTGAATTTTTTAGCAATTTATATGAACTGGAAGAATTTTTTATAAAGATTCTCATTTTTGCCTTTTAAACCAGCAAATTCTTCTAAATTTTCTTTTGCGGAATTGATCTTGATCTATCTAAAAGCAAGCCTGCTATTTCGGAAAAATAAAATCTCTAAAAAAATACTAAAGATTTGAATATTTGGTATTGTTTGTATTTTTCAATAAATATCTTGCCGATTTCTCATTAAGTTTCAATTTATAATATAGAAAAAATCTACATAAGTTCAGTAGGTTTAATTTATGCTGAGGTTAGACTTATTAATATTATTAGTAAATTTGAAAACAAAGGAACCATATCCTTATATAATCTTAAAATTTCTTTTGAGTTCTTAGAAAAATAACTGTCTCTGATTTCAGTAGTGTGAAATTATTTTCCATCAGATATATTTGAACAAGTCGT